GATTTGATTTGGATTTGAATAACGTCTTCCGAGGGTCTTGCGACTTGAATCTCGGATCGAACGTTGAACTTTGACGGGTTTTGACTTGAAGATCTTGGAGTTCTTGATGGATTTGGCCCTTCAATCTTCCTTCGATCTTGATTTGTTGAACTTTGACGGGCTTTGACTTGAAGATCTTGGAATTCTTGATGGATTTGGCCCTTCAATCTTCCTTCGATCTTGATTTGTTGAAGAACGCCCTCGATTTGATGAAGAACGCCTTGAATTTGATGAAGAATGACTCGAATTTGATGAAGAACGACTTGAATATTGTAGAGAGAATTTTCTCCTACGGTTTTTCTTCTTCTTGCGTTGTGTTTTGAATTGTAGAGGGAGGGTCCATAGTGGTAGAATAAGAGTCCTACATGAAGTCTTCTTGACGACGTGGCGCGATTTGATTGGCTGCCTTTAAATTGATATTTATCTCTTATAACTTGGAAGAGAAGAAACAATCCTATTGGTCAATAATTAATTGATAATTATCTACATGACTTATTTTGCAAGATAAATTATAATCTTGGGATTCAATTTAATATAATATAAATTATATTAAATTTACGTGTCTATAATATATATATAAAAATTGAACTTTCAAATGTAAAGTTTGAAAATTTAAAAGAACAAATTATGGGATATTAGGAAAAATATCTTATTTTTAACATAAACTACTTATATTTATATTTTGTAAATGTAAAATATTAGAAAACAAATTATTGTAATAAATTATATTCAAATAAATAATTATATTGTTGATTTGTAAATGTAAAATATTAAAAAATTATTTTGAGTGTTTTGATGTTTTTCTTCAAATTTGTTGATTTGCACTAAAATAATTTCTTTTTGTTTTGTTTTTGCAATTGCAGCTTAATGAAGGCCACTGATCCTTTCCTTGAAGGTGTCAATTTTTTTTTTTGAAGTGACATCAGATCTGTTCAACAGACTGTATACATTACTATACATTACTATAGTAACATGTAGTTACATATGTGTATATTTGTGTATTTTCGATTTGTATTTTATTGGTTCTTATGTGATTTATAATAAAAATATTTAAATTTGTAAATTTTTGTTGGGGTTTTATTAATTTATTTATTATAAGTCAGTATTCGTGTGTGTATACAATTGATCGACTAAAAATATGGAGAAAAAAAAAACATAACTATGAATTACTATAGATACTATAGTTACATGTAGTTATTTTCAGTACTGTAAACATATTATTTTGAAAATTAAAAAAAAAAATTTAAAAAATAAAATTAAAAAAATTAAAAAAAATTACAAAATTAAATATATATATATATATATATATATATATATATATATATATATACATATATATTAAACAAACAGATTTATATATAAAAAAAAAGGAAAATAATAATAAATAAATCAGCGAAAATGATAAATGCAGGACCATAAATGATGAATGCAGTTTGGCCGAAAATTGCACATAAGGGTAGTATAGTACTTTCACTTCCCCAGGGGGGGGTATGTCAAATGATGATTTGGGCTTGGGTTTATCCCTAGTTTATTTGGTGGCTAGGGGGGTATGTAAAATAACCCCTAAATTGAATTCCTAACACATGTAAGAACCTAATCGTAAATCGTAATATTTTATTAAAGCGTAATATTTAAACCAATTAAGCTCAAGTCCTTTCAATTCGTAAACATTATTCAAATATTTGAATCGATTAATTAGCCGTTCAACTATTGACAAGAACGCCTTAATCAAATTTACTATTATTAATTAAAGTGTAATACATTTTTAATTCAATTTTATCATAAAAAAAATAATTCCTAAATTACGTAAGAATCAAATCATAAGATTAATTAAAGCGTATGATTTGAATCAATTAAGCGCAAATCCTTTTAATTTGTAAATATTATTCAAAAGTTTGAATCGATTAAGTTCAATCACTGACAAGAATGTATTAATCGAGTTAACTATTTATAATTAAAATCTACTATCCTTTTAATTCAATTTTAACAAAAAAATAATAATTTAATTCGTAAAATTGTAAGAATCAAATCGTAAATCGTAATATTTAATCTAACCATGAACCGATTAATTAATCTTACGCTTTTTACGAATTAAATTTTATTATTTTTTATGATAAAATTCAATAAAAAAGATTCTAAACTTTAACTATACATAGTTTGATTAATACACTATTGTAAATTATTGAGTTTAACCGATTCAAATATTTGAATATTGTCTACGAATTGAAATGAGTTGAGCTTAATCGATCAAATCTTTGAATATTGTTTTTGAATAGAAAACACATGAGTTTAATTGATTCAAATATTACGATTTAATTAAATCTTACAATTTACGATTCAATTCAAACTTCAAATTCTTTCGAAATTCATTTTTAAATTACACGTGTTGATCAGCATTTCCTTAGATTTTTAAATTATATTATATAAAGATTTGTTAGTATGGGATATTTTTAATATATAATAATAATTATATGAGAATTAATAATGTATTTAACACTATTTATATAAGTTTTATAACCATTATAAATTGTAGCTTTGTGATATATATCCGTATTGTTAGTTTTTGTCAATTATGTGTTGTGTCTTAATGGTAAGTATTCATGTATGGTTTCAGATGGTCACAAGTTCGAATTCAGGTTGATGTAATTTTGGATGGGTGGTTTAATGATTTTTACGAATAATGATATAATTGACTTTATAAATTTTAATTCAACAATAAATATAAATTTAAAATTGCATTAAAATAGAGAGAGTAAAATTGACATTTCATTAATAATTTATAATTGCTATCTCATATGGGCCTCTTTGGTTCGAGTTATTACGCTTGATGGGACGAATAGTCCCTCATTATACGGTATTTGGTTCGGCTGTTACAAGCTCTCGTGATAAGTGGTCCCACTTGATTTATCAAGCAAATGATTTATTATTTGTCAAGCCGAATTTGGCTTAACTAATTAACACGTGATAATCCCTACATCTGAGTGTAGTGTACAATGTCTAAGTTGCCCTCAAGAAATGAAAAATTTACAAATATATTACATATATATACGAACTTTCTTCTCAAATTCCCCGTTACTTTGCTGCTCTAATTTTACCCAGCCCCACCTGAAGAGCAGACTCAAATTCACCATATTTCGCTCAATCTAAGCTTCCTGTTCAGCTACACCCAACATTTGCGGAAAGGTTATATGAAATTGCAGGTTCTTTGCATTTTTTTAATTTTTCGTTGACATCATTCACTACGTTGACTCCCACGTTTAAATGAAGCTCCCAATTTAATATCATACAGAGTTAGGGTTTCGTTCTTGAAGAGAGTCCATCAGGGTTTCGCGTAATTGTACATCGGACAGTTTCATCAACGGATTTCGAGTGGAGGATACAGGTACTAACCCAACTGGTATATGTATCATTTGGGTCATCCGAATGTTTATTATCTGCTAGTACTATGTTAATTTACATTTACTATTGTCTACTGTATGTTTGCGAAATTGGTTTCAATTTGTTTGCGTTCATCTATCTGTTATTTTCACATATTATTTGAGAGTTTGGTGTTCTTTGTAATGCACACGTCCCAATTCTGTAAACGTGTTGCAGGAATCACGATTGGGCTATTTTGGTTAAACAAATTTGTGAATACATTTTGTAGGAACTTCTTGGCTTAGGATGGCTTTGTCAAACCGAGAAGAAGAAATAATAGTTGTCCTGCATCAACTAATGTTTAACCTGAGGATTTTCTTCTTAATGTCGATGCATATTATTCCCAAATTTAAGCGTCGTTGTTTGAGGTCTGCGCATAGCTATAATCGAACTTATAGTATGATAGGAAGAACACCTTCACAACTCGATTATTTGCGTTCTATAGTTGGGTTGAACGATGTTGCATGTCGTGATAATCTTAGAATGAATATACAAACCTTCTATCGTTTGTGTTATGTTTTAGAAAATGTTGGTGGTCTTAGACCAACTAGAAATGTCACCGTACCCGAGCAAGTTGCAATGTTTCTTCAAATTTTGGCTCATCACACCAAAAATGTTGTTGTTAAAAGCCATTTCAATAGATCAGGGTACACTGTTAGCAAGCATTTTAATCAGGTGTTTGTAGCCTTGTTGAAGTTACACGAAATGCTTTTAATAGCCGCTAAGCCGGTTGGCGAAAATTCAGAGAACGAGCGTTTTTCATACTTTAAGGTACTAATTGTATATTGACTGCAATTACTTTCATATTATAATTATCACTTAAAATTGTTTTAAATCACTGTCCTCGTCATCAAAAAAATGTTAGGGTTATCTTGGTGCGCTAGATGGAACGTATATAGATTGTCGTGTACATATAGGAATCGCAAGGGCAATGTGTCTGTGAATGTGTTAGCCGTTTGCGATGACAATATGAATTTATTTACTTACTAACCGGGTGAGAAGGATCGGCACCCGATAGTAGAATTCTTCGGGACGCAGTGACTAGAGACAATGGTCTATGTATAGGGTAACAACGAAAATATTTAATTACAATTCGCTTCATTCTTCACCCAATTAGCCTCTTTTAGTTGTAGTAAACTCGTGCACTATTCCACAGGTAATTACTATTTGGTTGATAACGGTTACACGAATGGTGAAGGGTTTTTAGCACCTTACAGAGGTACTAGGTACCATCTTGATGCTTACGGTCAAGTCCCAAATGCCCCGAGAAATTTTAGAGAATTTTTTAACATGAAACATGCAAAGGCAAGAAACATCATCGAGAGGGCATTTGGTCTTTTGAAGTCACGTTGGGCCATTCTACGAAGTTCCTCATATTATCCCATCAAAGTTCAAAATAGGATCATAATGGCTTGTTGTCTGCTACATAATTTCATACGAACAACCAATGACTTTGACCCCGAAGAAGAAACATTAGATGATTTTTTCCGTAAAAATCCAGGAATAATTAGTGGAGAAGACTATATTAATACCGTTGAAACTTCAGAAGAATGAACCACTTGGCGGGATACAATTGCAACGAACATGTACAATGACTGGCTAGTTTCGCGTTAAACAATATTTTCAATATGTTGCTTGTTGTTCAGTTTACTTGTTTAGTTTAATTTATTTGTTTTCCATGAATAGAAAATGTATTTGTGTTGTAAGACTCGTTACATTTGGTGCACTGTACTTATTTAATTGCATGTTTATTTGTAAGACTTGCTTTTTCTTAACATTTTGACGTCAAAAAATTCAGGAATCATGGAATCTAATGCTTGTTCGAAAAAAGGTACAATTAATAAGAATGGTGTCATCAATAACAGACGTAGTTGGACAGTTGTTGAAGAGCAGACTTTAATATTAGGGTTGAAAGATATTGTTTCGAGAGGATGGAAATGTGAAAACGGTTTTAAAACTGGGTTTCTAGGAACTCTTGAACAATATATGGTACAAAAATTCCCCGGTACCGACCTCAAAGCAACCCCACATATCCATTCTAAGATACACGTGTGGAAAAAACATTATGCATCGTTAAGCACAATGTTATCGAAGTCGGGATTTGGCTGGAATGAAACAAACAATACCATTGAAGTCATTGACGAACAAGTTTGGCAAGAGTACGTAAAGGTAGATCACACTACTAAATCCTTTTTAATAATTTATGCGGTTCAATGCACTGATTTTATAATATGCATTTTTAAGTATTTCATTTTTGCCATGTTTACTTAGACGGATGCTAATGCCCGTTCCATGAGGTACAAGTCATGGCCATTTTACAAAGACTGGACTACGGGGAAAAGAAATTACCCCCTTTGAGGGCAAGCTACGAACTGTCGTCCTGGGTTTGTATCTGTCATGAAGTTTGTAAGCCGACCATGTACCCGAAATCGCAATATTTTGGCATTTCCCGATTTATCTTGACTCCGTTGAAATTGTTGCTGCCCATTTTCTGGTGAGAGCTACTACTACCAGAACTCATGATGATGTAACGAATTCAACGATTCAACTCGATTCAATGGCAGATTTATATTTCACCGATTACCAATTTAGGGTTGGAAATTATGGCAGGAATTACAGATGGTTGAGGCTATGTGAAAACAGGAGATGAAGCAGAAAATCGATATATATATTATTCAATATGTCAAGGGCTTTTATGGAAATTACCAATTAGGTCCACACTAATATCTTTAAATCAACTATACAAAACAGCGTATTGTTGGTCTCGGGATTATGAGTACCGAGATAATACCACAAACCAAATGTCATAATAAATGTAACTTGTCAACACTCCTATCTCAATATTAACCATCCCATCGCTCTGTATATTTCGAAGCCCTCCAACCAAAGAGGCCCTAGAAGTTTAGAACACACGATCACATGGTAGAAACACACTATTATCTAATCTATAAAATGCATTTAGACGTTCAAAACGCGTTCAATCTTATTAGGTTCGCTGCTTACTCAAATCCCTAAATTGAAGAATTTTCAAAATCAAACTTCAATGGAGCCGTCGTCTTCAGGTTCAGCGGAGGCAACGCCGCCGTGGCTCGATCTGCCGCGAGAGATAACAGCTGCGATTTTGCAGAAGCTGAGGACGGTCGAAATACTGACGACGGCGCAGAAAGTGTGCACTACATGGCGGAGCGTGTGCAACGACCCTTCCATGTGGCGGCGCGTTGACATTCACGGTTCAGAAGATACTTGGGAAATGCCTCTCGACTTAGACAAAATCTGCCGCCACGCAGTGGATCGCAGCTCCGGCCAATTAATCGATATCAGTATTGAGTATTTTGGTAACGATGATCTTCTTCTGTACGTCTCTCAGAGGTAATTTTTTTTGCTTATTTCTTCCATTTTTTTTTTTTGCTGAAATTGCGTTTTGTGATCAATTTATGTTTCGATTGTATATTAATTTATTCTTAGAATCAATTTTGCAAAGTTCGCATGTGGTACTATACTAGTAATTAGAATTTACATTGTTAGTATTTTGCTTTGTTCATCAAATTTATGTTCGTCGTTCGGCCAAATAAAGCCGGTGCTTTTTCTCGTTTCACCGTGTGCTCGTTATAATTTTCTTCTGTTTTATTGTTTCTTATGGTGTTAATTTATGTATTTATGAGAGTGTTAGATGATAGTTTTACAATTGGGAAACTGACAATGGGTAATTTGTTAAAGATGGTAGGGAATGCTGGAAAGCAAGTCGTTGTATATATATATGTGTGTGTGTATATATATATATATATATATATATATATATATATATATATATATATATATATATATATATATATATATATATATATATTATGCTCAACAATGTATAGTATTTGCTGTGATTGCTCTGTCTTCTTTGGTTTTTCTTTTGTGTTCGTCTTTGTTTTATGTTGTTAGTCTTATGGTTTGAAATAACCAAGGTTTATTTGGTTGCTTCTGGTCATTGTCATTATCATCGATATTCTTTTAGCATTTTGTCGAGGCGTGCTTGAGTGTTTTCTTGCCTATTTTCCTCGGTCTGCAAGTAGAACATGCTAAGTAGATTAGTTAATAACTAAGGCTTAGCCTAAGTCGAATTCAAATCCGTTCGGTGCATGTGTCGTAAATGGCCATTTAAAAATAAAATCGTAGATAAGCTAATAATATGACACCATATGGTCCATATCTCGTTCTTGAATATTGTTTTAATTGGATTTTCAAGTTTATTCCATTTACTTCTGTTTGCAACGAGATATGACGTATCCTTGTACAGAATAACGTGTCTTTTGATATTAATTTCTCCAATTCATACAGATGCACGATTATTATCTTTATATCATATTGTTACGAACTAAGCTTGTCTAGTATACGCATTTTAACAGGTCTAGTCAGCTTAAACGTCTTCAACTTGTAAATTGCTATGGCATATCATACGATTGTTTGATCGAAGCAATTAAAAACTTGCCTCTTTTGGAGGAGCTGCATCTATATTACATCTATACCATTCCGGAGACTATTGCAAGTATCGGCCGCTGTTGCCCACTATTGAAGTCGTTTACATTGAACAGCCACCGGTCCAAGCACGTAGTGTGCGATCTCGAGGCGCTAGCAATTGCAGAAAACATGCCTGGACTAGTCCACCTTCAACTTTTCGGAAATAGAATGACCAATGAGGGCTTGAATGCCATTCTCGAAGGTTGTCCAAATCTCGAATCACTTGATCTGAGACGATGTTTCAATGTCCTTTTATGTGGGGACTTGGGAAAATTATGTTCCGAGAGGATTAAAGATCTTAAGCTTCCTCATGACTCAATCGATGATTATAAATTCCGTGACACTGAAATTATCAGTGATGAAGCATCCGATGATGATTATGTTTCTGGGTTTTCTGACATGGATATGGTGTCTGATTACGAAGATTATTTGGAAGTCTCGGGGGGTGAGTATGATTCTGAAGACGAGCTTTGGTATTAATTAACGACATTAAACGAAGGGGGAATTGTTAGTGATGGTATTATTATCTTCTGTAATCTCTCAGTTCTTTCTGGTTGATGATGACTTGGGCTTATTTGTCATCTAGTAATGGACCTCGTTTTGCTTTTGTTATGTAAAATTTGGTCTACTTTTGTTGTGTAAAACTTGTTATGTTACGAAAATATATTTAAAAAATGAGTTAGCAAATATTTTGTAGGGTTAAGATAATTTTCTTTTACACTACTAACCTAATCATATATACATTTTTTTTTCTTTTACAACTCGCAATTATTTTTACTTTTTGAAGTAATATTACTTACTATATCATTAAATGTGCAGATATATTGATATTTAGAACTCTTATGATTGACAATTCATTTATAATTTGTAAATTTAGCAAAACGATTTATTGATTCGAGTCGAATACACAGTTTTCACTTGCGTCCCGATCTCCATTAGTAAAGTTGCTACTCGATTATTTAATATGAATGTGTCGAAAGGACTATTACATTTTAAATCACAAGTGATTATGTGGTTTTTTTTTATTATAATCTGTTTTTATATGTTTGCAAAATCAACTTTTGCTTTTGCTTCTCTTAAAATAATCTGCTTTAAGCTATTTTTTTAAAAGCACCCATAACCCTGCTTTTTCAATTTTAGTTCATTTTCTGAAATATTTGCAAACACCCCCAACTTTTAGAAATAAGCACTTAAAACCAACTTAAATCACAATCACCAACTTCTACTTTTAAATAATCATTTGCAAACACCACCTTAATAACAATTAAAATCCTGATTTTGTTCATTATATCCAACACATGAAAGCATCAATTTAATCCACAAAAACTAACTAGTCCTTGATCATCATTAATTCAACCAGGCGACGGAGTTTGAGCAGCAACAACCGGAGAAGGAGATGGTGTATTTATCGAATAATTAACGGAGTTGCTAATTATTTCATCAACAACAACCACACTAACTTTCACTCCCAATTCGCACTAATTCGAGACGTTGCATACGAAATAGTAAACCCCTTTTCGAGGCAAACGGACGGTGGCCGGGCCGTCCATGAAAGCATCCAACGGCTGATCTCCGATGCAACTGTCGAACTCTCCTCTCGGAACTTGAATCACGTTGTAAAGCCCCGAGTCGAAGTCGAAATCTGCAATATTTAATTATATGTTTCTAAATAATGAGGAGTAAGTAATAATTAAAATGGGAATTGAAGATATTATTATGATGATGATGATGATGATGTTACGACGATACTCGAGGACGACGAGGTACGTACAGAGGGAATCGCCGGTGTGAAAAGAGTAAGAGGAGGACCAGTTGGTGTAGAAATGGTTGGTTGGAGGAATAGACCATATTGAATCTCCAACTATGTGCTGCTTCTTCTTCAAACCATTGATTGAACAAACTATTAATGTACCCATTATTACTATTTTTATTATTACCACTAATCTCAACATCCTCCCTTTTGATGAAGCCATTGGCGTTTTTGATTGTCTGTGTGCGTGTGTGTGTGTGAGAGAGAGAGAGAGAGAGAGAGAGAGAGAGAAGGAAGCGGTTTCCAGTTCTTCTTGTGAAGAAACAACGTGAGGTTTTTTTTTATGAAGACCCCTCGTATTTCAAGAATATTACGTAAACCCCCTTTTAATGTTTAATTTTCTAAAAACCTTCGCATTATTTAACTCATTAAATAATATTGTATTTTTTCATTTTAAAATTATGATATCTTATCTTAATTGTTTATAGTATTTAATCGTGTTGTGAGTTGCATTTGTTTATTTCACGTTAGTCTTATTTCTATATAAATAAAATTAAGTGCTTTTAGATATTATGAAATATTTACAAGGTCACATTACAAATGGTCACATTACAAATACGTTCAACTAGTGATACTTAGGTGGTGTTTGTAAAAGCTTATTTAAAAGCAGAAGTTAGTGATTGTGAGTTAAGTTGGAATTAAATGATTATTTTCAAAAGTTGGGTTGTTTGCAAATTAGCTTAAAAATCAACTAGAATAGAAAAAATAGGTACATGGGTGTTTTTAAAATTATAGCTAAAAATAGCTTTCTTTAAGAGAAACAAAAGCAAAAGTTTATTTTGCAAACACCTAAAAACAGATTATGTGAAGAAAAAAACTCATAATCTATTTCTAAAAGCATTTGCAAACACCACTTTAGTCATAAAGGGTCAAGACAAAAAAGTAATATTTTACAAAAAAATCCACACATTGTCCAGAGGTGTGTAAAAGACTAAAATATCCCCTTACATTTTAATACGCTCCAATTTCATTATTTAATTTAATTTAACCTCAATTTGACCCCAAATTTCACAAATTATTCAATTTTGACTCAAAACTCAATTTTGAGTATAATTTCGCCCATCACGCCAGTCTCCAGGGTTGACTTTTTTTCCCCTGATTTTTCTGTCGGTTTTCTGTCGAGGTTAGCAATATTGTTGTGGTTGACAGTAGTACTATTAACTATATTATTTGTTAAACACATTAATATTAACTATACTACAGTATAACACAACTTTAACACAACAAAAGTCATTATTATTGTGAAATAGAGTATTATTAATATGTTGACCGTTTTTTTTTCCCTTAAGTAAATTCAAGTCCATTACAAGAGGAAGTAAGGGAGGGGGAACTCGAGCCCTAGACCGTTACCCTATTGTTAAAGGTTAGGGACCAACTCTCCTAATGAGAGTTGGTTAATATGTTGACCGTTCAACAGAGGTAAATATAATAAAAAGTCAAAAGAATTAATATTGATGTGGTTGACTGTAATATTATTGTCATCCACAGTAATATTACTGTAACAACAGTAATATTACCGCACACCACAGTAATATTATTGTATTTATCGTAATATTACAATAGTAGACAGTAATATTATTACGTTAAGCCATCAACAACTCAAACAAAACAAAAAATCCAAAAAAAAAATAATAATGATGTGGTTGACAATAATATTATTGTGTTTACAGTTATTTTACCGTCAACGGCAGTAATATAATTACGTTGACTTGCTTAATGCTAGAAATCGATCACCTTAAATTGAGGGAGCTGTGAAAGCAAAGTGGATCACTGCTCACGTGCTAGATGATCCTAAGATACCTGCGAACAGAGAACACATGAACTATGTCGGGGGTTGATCTGGCAGAAACCCCTCCGACGCTCAAGTCTGACGTGCGGATTGTAGAAATAGTTGAGAGAATATGAATTGTTCAATTGGTTCGATAATAGGTCGTACCTTTAATAAATGAATTATATCGTTATTTATATCATGTCGATTGGGCTGTGATTAATTGTTGACCCAAATCTTATTTGAAGATGATTGGCCTTTCGTAATAATATTCTTTTAAATTGGGCTCGCGACCCAATACGTATAGAAATAATAGGCAAATCATATATATATATATATATATATATATACATATATATATATATATATATATATATATATATATATATATATATTCACAAATCAACTAATATAAATAAAATCAAAAAATTAAATGTGAAATCAAAATACATTGAATATAATATAAGCTGCATCTAGGGAAAAAAAATGTAATTTGACATACCAGTATTTGGCGGAATTCTTCCTTAGGAACACGTTTTTCAATCGTCCCCACCTTCTTCTACTCTTTCTTGGCAGCCTACATCTCCTTGTTCGCGGCACTCATTCCGCATTTGTTTCACCTTACGGTCGTAGACGGAGAAAGGTCAGACTGTTTGCACGAAAAAGAAAATCCAAAAATTTGGCGACAAAGAGAAAATAGAGGGGCGGTGGAAACCCTGGTACACCTTTGAGCGAATGATCCGCCGGACAACACTGGAACTGAATCTTCAATTGGTGGTCGTCGGCGGCTTTAAGCGAGGAGAAGGTCACGAGTTAGTCGGCGACGAAAGGGTGGCCGGATTATTAGGGGAGGCGAGTATTGTGTGTTATAGAACGAAAGAGAGTAGAAATTGAGATAGATCAGGAATGATAAATTAACGGCAGTTCAATTTAGATGAGTACACGACTAGGTTAAGAAGAGTATTATAGGATTATAATAATTTAATAATATAATATTTAAATAAATGGATTTATCTCAAAATATGAAAAAAAAAAAAATGGACCCCTCTAGTTGTAATTGTGATATGATAGGTCTCTCAAATAATCCCTATAAACAAATATATAAAAATAAAAATTACAATAAAATAAAACCAAATAAATGAAACAAAACAAAATAATAATATAATAATAAAAAACCAAAAAAAAAAGAAAAGAAAAAAAAAAGTTGAAAGGTTGGGAGCTAAACGGACGATTAGCGCGTGAGATATAGGGGAGAAGCCATGCACCATTTAACTTCTAATTCGTCAATAAATGTATAGTTCTCCATCCAAAACCCATGGTAAACCAGAAATCAGAAATCAGAAATCAGAAATGGCGATTCCCGAACTTCCCCATGACATCTGGATCGACATATTCTCACGTCTCCCATTGAAATCCGTGGGCAAATGCAGGTGCTTATCAAAACCATGGCGCACTTTTCTTTCCAGCCGGGAGTTCATCAAATCCCACCTCACTATCAAAACCCTAAACCAACAAAACCTCCTCCTCGTCACCCTATCCAACTCAATCCAAACCATCGCCAACGTAAAAAACGACACCGTTTCGAGAAAGCTCGGCCGAATACATGGTTATACATTGAAAGTTGTGGGTTCTTGCGACGGCTTGGTTTTGTTGGTAAATGAGAAAAATGACAAGTTTTTGGTGAACCCCACTACTTTGCACGTGGCAAAATTACCGAATTCGCCTCTAGCTTTGAAGAGTAAACATAGCTCTACCATGCATGGATTCGGGTATGATAGTTATATCGATGATTATAAGGTTGTCGCGCTTTCTTACTATGATAGTGACACTGAGTACGAGCCCGATTGCGTCGATACGTTTGTAGATGTGTATTGCGTGAGAAGGGGTGTTTGGAAAAGGGTTGAGAGTTCTCCTTATGACCATTCTGCCCCTGTAACTCCGTCTGGGGCTTATCTGAACGGAGCTGTTCATTGGTTGGCCGGTAGTAGAGAATCAGGTCATGCGTCTGTAATCGCTGCTTTCGATTTGGTTAATGAGGTGTTTACTAAAATTCCTGCTCCGAACAAGAGTTTTGAGTACAGTACACTTGAGATATTCGGTGGTTGTCTTTGTATGATTGTTGATCGAATGGATATGCGTACGGATATTTGGGTTATGAAAGAGTACGGTTTGGCAGATTCTTGGATCAAATACACTATTGGTTGTGGTTACGATTACGATATTTTAAACCCTTTATGTTATATTTGGGATGAGGGAGTTGTGTGGATGACCTACGACGGAAGATTGGCTATCTGCAATCCGAAAGACGAAACTTTTAAAGACATGATAGTTGATGGAGTTCCGGCCAAGTTTACGGATGGATGCGTCTTTGTAGAGAGCCTCGTCTCTCCTTGTTTATGATATGTCTTATTAAAACAGGTTGAATGAATGTATTGTTTTGGGATTTAATGTTATGCTCAAGAAATTTATGGATTACTAATATGGATATATATACTATGATCTTGGTGTATTGGATTCTTGTGTTGTAGATTTTGCGTTCTTGATTTTCCGCAGTTGGTTTGTATATGAATGGTAAACATGTGTCGAGTGTATTTCACCCAGCATAGCATAGTATAAACATGTTCCAGAAGTAATCCATATGCACTACTTTTTGTAGTTCAACAAGTAATATACAATATTCGAATATGTGTTCCTTAAGTCCTTCGATTAAGTAATATCTTGTGTAATTCGGCGTTGATTCGTCTCGAACACAAATACCAGCATACGGTTATCCAGGAAAAATGGTAAACAAGACTTACTACTTAAGCCAAGGAGATTTAAGAAAGATATCATTTATGTTACACAACAAATACACATTAAAGTCGAACCAAAGGCATTAGAAGGAGCACTATGCAAGTTGTTTGAATATTATATTTCTTCCAAAGATTTGTACCAAAAAAATTCAACGATTCCATAAAAAATAAACCGATCGATTAATTTAGTGAGAAATGTTTATGTTTTTTTAAGAGAAACTAGGGCCTTTTCAGTAATTGAGTGTGATATTTTTTTTCGCACTTTGTACGCTCGAATAAGGTTGGATGGTAGAGAAACAAATTACAGTTTTATTTGTCATTCTGCACCATATGAAAAAAAAAACCCATTAAAAAGGAAATTCCCCTCATTAAGTTTGAAATATTCAATTTAGAGTACATTGTGAATGATTTATTATATTTTAAGGGAGCAAAGTACTATTTTTCAATGATACAAAATGTCAAAATGATATAATTCAAGAGTTCAAACAGGGGTTAAGCCTTCTAAACCGACTAAAAAGTCAAATTTTAAGTTATCTAAAAATATTTTAAGTAAAAAAATATCCTTGATAAAGTACATCATAATTGTTTTTCCTCAGTTGTCCATAAAAACGATAAAATCTTAAATTGTTCGATCATCAGGCTTAGGTCCTAGATGGTAAAATCACAACTAGGTGTGAAAGTAAGAATTAAATACTCGTCCTGCAAGGGATGACCTATCGGTTGGAGCAAGTAAGCTTGTGTCAATTGATCCAAGTTCAAATCTCTTTGCCAACGGGCGGTAGGTCGAGTTTGTCACACATGGTTAGCCTAGTATGATTTATATCTCTCATATGATTTGCAAACTATTTTACGAGTGCGTAAGTTTATTCAGTGCACTTATATGATTGGCTGCAGGGTTACTTCACTACCAACAAAAAAAAAAATTCAAATACTCTTTTTAAATTCAGATCTGGGTTTAGAAGTACAAAATCATTTTCGGTACAAAATTTCTCAAATCCAAGAACCAATTCTCATTGCAAAAATTTTTAAAACTATATAACTTTCGGAATTTTTGGAAACTTTCCAATATATATTTTATTTTCAAGGGCGAATGGCAAAAAGGCCCATCACAGGGGACTTAAATGCATTTTGGTCCATAAAAAAAAGTCTCTCAATTAAACTCATCCCCATGTCGTTAGTCTAAAATACCCTCCATAGTATAATTCTTATCAATTCCACCCATTATGCTCTAACTTCTTTAATATTACACATTGACCCCAATTTTTTTTTTTCAGAAAATAATTTTTTTTCTGAAATGTTTTTTTTTCCGGCCAGATTCCGGCGTTGACTTTTTTTTTTTTTGTTTTTTTTGAAAACTTTTTTTTTCCTAAAATTTTTTTCCGGCTGGTCAACCACCGTTGACCGCCGGTCTCCTCCGGCGTTGACTTTTTTTTTTTCTTTTTTTTTGAAATTTTGTTTTCTTAGAAAAAAAATATTTTAATGAATATTACTATCTTGACTACTAAATTACTGTCTCAGACAGTAATATTACTGTTTGAGACAGTAATATTATGAATATTATTTTCCCGAACAGTAATATTATTAATATTATTGTCTAAGACAGTTAAATTACTGTTCGATACAGTAATTTAGCAGCCAAGTCAGTAATATTAATTAAAATATTTTTTTTAAGAAATTTTTTTTTTTAAAAAAAAAAAGTCAATTAACAGTTAAATTACTGTCTCCGACAGTTAAATAACTGCTGGAGACAGTAATTTAGCTACGAATACAGTAATATTAATTAAAATATTTTTTAAAAAAATCAATTAACAGTTAAATTACTGTCTCCGACAGTTAAATAATTGCTGGAGACAGTAATTTAGTAGCAAAGACAATAATATTAATTAAAATACTTTTGAAGAAAAAAAAAAGTCAATTTACAGTTAAATTACTGTCTCCGACAGTTAAATAACTGCCGGAGACAGTAATTTAGAAGCCATGACAATAATATTAATTAAAATATTTTTTTTAAGAAAAAACAAAATTATAAAAAAAAAAAAAAGTCAACGCCGGAGACCGCGGTCAACGGCAGTTGACCGGCCGGAAAAAAATTCTGGGGAAAAAAAGTTTTTCAAAAAAAAAAAAAAAAAAAAAAATCAACGGCGGCGACCGGCGGTCTCCGGTGGTGACGGGTCAAAATTGGGGTCAAAATTGAAATTAGGGTTAAAATTGGTTAATTGATGAAATTGGGCTAAATTGGGGTGTAAATCATGAAATTGTAGTTGAATTGGGGGTAATTTTGGTATATATAAAGGGATTTTCCTTATTTGCAAATAAATTTGAATGAGCTGGATTTATTTGAAAGACAAAAAAGTTGGATGTCCCTCTTTTAATTAAGTGTCTTTGTCATGGGCTTATTTGCCATTTACCTTATTTTCAATGTAAGGTAATTGTTGCAATTTTCTCATTTTGTGAATATGTTTTTCTAATTTTATAGTTTGAGTCAATTATTTTTCAGTTCCAAATAAAATTTGGAATATCAAAGTAAAATTGTATTTCAAATGATATTCATTCCAAATAAAATTTGGAATATCAAGTAATTAATATGTGGTTACTAGTTGAAACGTTCCTCATTATTGAAATCCTAATCCAATTTACGTTTTTTTTTTAATTTGAAAATCAGTCAAATGCTTATAAATTGAACTTCCAAAGATGAAAACAACACCCTCAACAAATCAAAATTACAAGAAACGATGAGTTATACCATGATAAAAATCCTATTGACAATGTTTCTCTTGTTAGAAGTAAACATTTTTCAACATCAATTTGCAGAAGGAATTTGCCCTTCGGCGTCAAAGCGCAGTTGTTCATATCTCTAACGGTCTACCTCCGAAATCTGCACCATTGAAATTGCATTGCTGGTCCAAAGATAACGATCTCGGATATCATACACTTGATGTCAAAGAAGAATTTAAATGGAGTTTTTGTGCAAATGATAACTTATATACTTGTCATTTCTGGTGGGGATCAAAAAACAGAGCTTTCGAAGTTTATAAACCCAAGGTGGTAAATACCAAATCGGTTTATTGGGTACCACAGAGTGATGGTATTTATTATTTAGAACAAACTCCATATTCGTCGTATTTTGAGAAAAAATATGATTGGAACAATTAGAAAAATTCGCAGTGCATTTATGAGAAATAAACGAGGAAAAATAAACGACGAGAAATAACGATTGTTGCATTTTTCGTTATTTTGCCATGTCCAAATTCATCATCACTTATATTTCTGCGTTGTACTAGTATAGTGATTGAATGTGAAGAAATCCCGATATTACGGCACTTCTCAAAATACATAATATAAAGATTTTTTATAAATATATTTTCAAATATAATTGGAAATTTTAAATTATTATTTCCTGAAACCAGAATTGGGATGAATAATCGAAAATCTCAAAATTTCAACATTTCTTTTCAATTCCAGCCAATCAAAAAAGGTATTCCAAAATTCATTATAAAACAAACACTAGTAGAAAAATGGTTTGTTACTACATTTTGTTTTTTGTTACGCTAAAAAACCGTTACAAAGGGTAAATTTTGCACAGGACAATATGAGAGTCGTAGTAAATGCTAGGATTTACCGTTACAACAAAAATATTTGCCACGGCTGTTTACCGTAGCAAAGCTTTTGTCACACTTATATCTGCTACGGATCAAATTCATAGCAAATGCGAACAAAAACTTTTTACCACGAATTTGGTACGCTTTGATACGATTAATAATCATAGTAAAAACTAAAAAGTTATTTTTCCACTATTGAAAGGTCAAAAAGTTTGACTGAAAGGATGTATTTTTCACATAGAATCTTATTTGAATGAAAAATGTACTATATAAAATCGCAATAAAATAGTCAGCGTACCTCTGAAACGAGGAATAAACGCAAAATATTTCTCTTATGCAATATATTTTTCTAATGAGTATTTTGAACCCATTCTCTTCGATTTGGGATTACTCATGCGTGTTTTCATTCTCTCAATAATTTTAAAATTTTATTTTGTGGATTATCAAAATTCAAAACGTTTTCAAATTAGATATATCAAAATAGGGGCAATATGCCAAACACCCTTCATTGGGATTTTAATTCTTGATAAATCCATTATTTATAAATGATATTTGAGATAAATCCAATGGGCTTTAAAAACCATATATGCCCCCACTAATTATTAATTAGTATAACTATTTAATTTAAAAAAAATTACACCCATAATCTACACCCAAATCTTCTCCTAAAATTATTCCCCTCATCACGTTAATTCAGTTTTTTTTTATCCTTTTCTTTTTTATTTTGTTTAATGGTTTTCTTTATTTCCATTTAAAATAAAATTTTATAAATATATTATTATTTAAAAAAAAAAAATCGGTTGTTTATTTTAAATTATTATTTTTCTTATTTATATATTTTCATGTTTTTTATTTTAATTTAAAAAAAATGATTTTATTTTTATTTTCGTTTTTTCATGGTTTTTCTTTTTTCTTAATTTCGATTTTTTTTTAAAATGGTTTATTTATTTATTTTTTATTTCCAGTTTTTTTTTAAATAAAAACCACTCTATATAAACATAAAAACCACTCTGTATAAACATGAAAACCACTATGTATAACAATTATATAACATGAAAACCACTCTGTATAACAATTATGTAAACTTGAAAACCACTCTGTATAACAACTATGTCAACATAAAAACCACTGTGTATATACAGTTATATAAAAATTTGTACAAAAATTATTGAAAACCACTATAATTATTTATACAGATTTTTATAGTGGTTTATGTAAAAATATTGAAAACCACTATAAAAATCCGCGAGGGTGTGGATGTGGTCGTCCTGTGGGGCAACGAGAGTGTGGGTGTGGATGT